TATGTCCTCAAGGGTTTATCACTTCTTTGTGATAAAAGTATTCAAAACTCTTTCTTCCAGCTTTAAGAAATAGTCTATTATCATTACCTGCAGTCACCCCTGTGTGTGGCACCCCAGAAGTTATTTTCCTGTCTGTTACGCAGTATTCATGGACCTCCCTTCCCTCCTCCTTCTTCTGACACAGAAATCTTCAAACCCTTTGCTTCTGTGAATTAGTACTGATCTGGAAAAATCTGTCTCTGGAGGCTTTCAGGATACTGGCTCTGTTACCCTTCTTGTCAGACTTTTAGATTTTGTGTCTGTGGCTTGTACTACACACAAGAATACAGCCAGAATTTGTTACTGGTCAGTGTTGAACAAACAAGGACATTTGTGTGAATATTATACAAAGCCTTTCAAGAGAGAATATATTTTGATAAACTTAAGATTGATGTTTTTGTAGGATAAGCCTTACTATATATGGTATGATTATATTTATTGCACTTGATGTTTGAGCTTTTTTTCCTAAAGGGAAAGTGGAGCTTTTAACACTATCTTCATGCAGAGCATGGTATAGATTAAGCTTCTTTTCTCAGTAGAAGCTGTGCACAGTGATAATTACTTCAACTGTAACCTACATATTGCTGACTACCAGAACTAGTATCTCGAGTTTAGCTATCAGTGTTTCAAGTTCTGCATACCTAATTGTCTAAAACAACTCTAAGCGGTATCAAGGTTTTCTCCTTCTACTCTCATTGGCTGCCAGGATAAGCCTCAATCCTCTCTGTAAGAAAATACCATCAGCCAAAGCCTTCACACATTTCTGTGCAGAATGTGGAGAGTTTGATGAAAAATTACAAAGTATATTATTAATAACATTAAATCAACAAAACCAAGAAGAAAAAGTAAAGCCACAGAATTTAGTGTTATTCTTCAGGCACTTCACAGTAACTATAAATAGCAGGTTCCAGAAAATAGCCCATAAATAATGGAGTTTATTCCCAAAACACCTAGGATGTTTTAGCCAAATAAATATTACAAAATGTAGATCTTTTGCCATTGTACTGCATGAGGCCTTTCAGTTGAACCCTTTCCTCCTGGGTACACAGCAACTCCTACAGCATTCTAGGAAGCACTGTAGACTGGGCCCTGGGATTGCATTAGCTTGACTTCTTCCTGTTTCTTAGTTCATGGATCACACTGTGAGTCATGACACTCTTCATTCATACTTGTTGTACCTTGAACAGCAGTGTTCTTGTCTCACCTTTTCTACCTGGAAAGCATTGAGTTATCTTCAAATACCTGTCTCAAGCAAAAGCTCCCCTGGAGATTCTGCATGAAGTTCTCAGGTGTAGGCCTTCTTCTGTGTGCTCCCATGCACACTCTACTGGGTACTTTCCATTGCTGTCTCATTGTGTGTACATTGCTGATCCCCTTGCAGCCAAGAGCCATGCTGTGCTGGAGCTGGCACTGCCCCCCAGGACCTGGGGACATTTCAGAATGTTCTGGCCTAGGTACCTGTGCAGTACAGGTAGCATAGCAGATGCTAACAGCCTGGGTTGTACTCTTTGTTTCATTATTTCATATTTCAATATTCATATATTTCAATATTTCATATTCATTATTTCAACTTTAGAAAGCTATGGGGAAAATGTTATTCATGAAGATCTAATTTAAAAAGTGTGTTTTGTGTATAAACTGTGAATAGGGCACATTGCTGAGGAAATATTCTTCCAAGTTATGACAACTATTTCCTAATTCAAAATAAAAGTTCCCCATATCACTAACAAAGTAAAGTTCTGACATGTATTTGAAATTTCTCTTTCATTTTACTTGTCAACATGAACGAACATGTCAAGTCACATTCATTTCAAGCCATAAGTGTTCCTCAGTAACATCTTCTCTACCGAATTAGACAGTGGTCATGTATCCATGTGTGTTATGCCTTACTGTTATGTTGCATGTTATTGTAAAAAACTTACAGTGAATTTTGCAAGAATCAACAAGTCATACAGAAGCTATATGTGGGTAGAATTTATAATAAATTCTATATTTTATTCATAAATTATATGCTTTGTGATGTATTTATAATTTATTTAGAGCAGTAATTCTTAAGTATTTCCTGAAACAGCACTGGGTAAGAACATCACAAAGAGCGAACTGATGTCTTAATCTTCTTTCATATATAAAGCCTACATAGTAGGTAATTTTGTGGTTAATAATAAGTCTGATGAATTACTGTTATTTTAAACTTATGTACAAAGCCAATATTATACAGTTTTTTCCTTCTGGTTTTATTCTGTACTACAATCCCTTCATTTTGACAACTGAAGTTAGCATAGGAATTATAGTCCAAGAATGAGTACATCAAAAAAACCTCCTTAACATGAAAAACTAAGCATATTAAAGAAGAGAAATATATTTTCCAAAATAGAGTTGAAAAAAACCGGCTTTGTACAACTGTGTGTTTGTAGTAATGTATATCTGTCCTGTGTGCTGCTTTGTGCAATACTCAGATTTATAAAGTAATCTATAATTTATAGGAAATTACAAGGAACTTTTTCTTTCATTATTGCCCAGGCCTTCAATTTAGGTCTTTATTGTATATTAAGTGAATTGTGGAGGACTCAGCAAAGATTCAGAAAATAGCCAAAGGGAACTTTTAAAATTTAGTTTCAAGAACATAAACTAAAAAATTAATAATTATGCAAATATAAAGATATCCTAGAGATAAGAGGTATTGTCTATGACCATGTTCCAGAAAAGAACAAATCATAAGTCCTTGGATATTTTTATTTGTGGTAGATACCAAATCATCTGTCTACAGTCAGAAAAAAAGATAAAGGCATCAAATGATTAAGGAGGTTTTGCTTTTACTAAGACATCTGATGCACTCTTTATATGCTAGGGAGCTCTACACTGAGACCCCTGACAACTGAAAGCCGTTCACAACAGATAATTTCATCATCAAAATAATATGGAATGAAGCAGAGCAAATTCACACGTGCTTATCTCTCACTAGAAGCCAGAGCTCATGAGTTCTAAATAAGAAGGGGAGTGAAGCTACTGCATAATCTTGGGGAGACCAAGAACTTGAGAGGAGGTGTGCACCCAGAGGTGCCTGCGGCAGGAATCATCAGGCCCTGGTGCTGGCCCAGTGGATCCCAACACAGAGCACAGTTGCTCTTGGAAATTCCAGCTGGGTTGTCACCGTTTGCATCCAGAGGCCAGATGAGTGAACCCTCAGGCTGAGGATAGGGTGTGTAAACCCTAGCTCACACTGTGAGAATCCTCTACACACTCTACTAGTTAATGCCTGTGTGTGCATGTGTAGGTAACTGAAGTTAAATTTTTCACAGAACGATTAGAAGATGGATTTATAGAATTTTTCATTAAATAAATTAAAAATAAAAGGGATCACATAGGACAAAAAAGATAAACTTAACTAACCAATCCAGAAGACCCAATCTCTTAGTAAGAGAACTTGAAAGGGAAAGGAAAACTGGAGAGACATTTCTCATACCTAAAGATAGAAGCCTCTAGTTGAAAAGAACTTCTTGAAAAAAAAAAAAGAAGAAAAGAACTTCCTGAAAAAAAACAAAGAAAAGAACTTCTTGAAAAAAAAAAAAAGAAAAGAACTTCTTGAGTATCCAGCAAAGTGAATGAAAAAAGGCTTGGTCATGGCATTGTGAAAGACAGAACACTGTACACAATGGAGTATCGTTCAGCTATAGAGAAGAGTGAAATCCCGCGTGTACAGCTAAACCAATGGAATGGGAGGGCATTATGTTCAATGAAATAAACCAGACACAGAGAGACTGGTGTCCATGTTCTCGGTCACATATAGAAGCATTAAAAAGTCCACAGAGTGGAGAGCAGGAGGTAACTATTGGGGAAGATGAAGGTATGAGAACAGAGGATGAAGGCAGGCTTGGATTCAATCAACGCCTGCTGTCTGCATGCATGGAAATAGCACACTGAAATTCACTGATTTGTAATTAGTGCTTGTTAATCAAAAATAAAATGTACAAATAGTAAAACCACAAAAATTATGAGTATTCAGAAAATGAAAAAAGAAGAAACAAAACAAATCTAGGTTACATACAAGCAACAAGCAATGGTTAAAAAAAAACATTGGGTCAAAGCTCACAATTTTCTCATTGAAAATAATCTTTCATCTTAAGGGTTTTTTAAGAAAAAAATTTATATAACATAACATACATATACAACATATATATATATATATATATGTATATACACATATGTGTGTGTGTGTCAAGAGTTGGTGAATCTAGGTGAAGGATAGATGAGTTTTCATTATATTATTATTCAAAAATTTCTGTACAATTGAAAATTTCCACCCCCCCCCAAAAAAAACTCTGCAGTGAGAGGGAACGTAAAGCTAAACACGAGTAAACGAGAGAAAAATCAAGATATTTCTTTCCAAAATTCCTTTTAGTAGAGGTTACTGAAAGAAATGTTTCAGCAAGAATTGAGATTGGAGAAAAGGTGGAATGTGGTAAAAGATCACAATGTCTAAGCAGTCTTAGGAAATCCATCTGCCTTTGGCCTAGGAGTCCACGCTCCAGGCCAGCAGGCAGTGGTGTGGATTTGGGGGCAGTGTCCACGTGATTCAGAAGCTAACGATGCATCATTAGATGGCTTTGAGTATTTAGAAATACTTCATACGAACATTGGTGAAATCAAAACAACTAATTCTAAAATGAGTAGAAAGCCAAGCAAATTAAAAATTAATGATCAATTATCTTTAGGAGAACTTAAATATAAATGAAAATAAAAGAATTGTATTATGTAATAATTTTGATAGAATTGCATTACATAATAATTTTGATAATAACAATGATGTATTATCACCTAATAATAATGACATTAACTATATTTAACAAAAATACAATGAATGTGTATCAGGAGGGTAGGCATGTGAGGATTTGGGGAGCCTCATCACCCGGGCAGAGCAGAGCTATCGACACGTGCTGACGCTGTCTCTGTTTCCACTGCAGGGCTACGACGAGGGCCACGGAGGACACTATGAGGAGCAGAGCTATGAGGCCTACGACAGCAGCTATGCCACACAGGCGCAGAGGTGAGTCTTGGCTGGGCACTGGGGCTGCCGCTTCCGGAATCTGACTGCGAAGTCTTCGAGCGGTTGGGTTTTCTCTGTTGTCTTTTTGAATTGTGAACTTGCTTACTAGAGCAAAATATAATAATCCTGCAAGTGCGAACAGTAACATGATACCGACATGGTTTTGACTGTTTGATCATCCTAACTCATCAATAAACAGGTCTTGTTCCGCGTTCACCAATGAATCAAATTGGTATCAAACAAATCCAATTTTATAAATTCAATAACCTAAGTCCTTTTTTTTGCCTTTTTATCTTTTTAAAGTAAATTTTATTGATATACTTTTTTTTAATTCATTCAGTTTATCGGTGCACTTTAGGTATACAATATGCTGACGTTCATCATTGGGAACTTGTACCTTTACATAATATATCTTGATTCTTATTCTTTTCCTCATTCCCTTGCCCTCCCTTCAACCCCTCCACCCTTCCCTATTTACAGACACTTTGTTTCCATTTTTTCCTTTTCTCATATTTATTCCTTTCCCTTCTTTCCTTTCCCCTATCCCTCCCACTTCCCCGTCCCCTTGGACCTTTTCTTCCTATTTCACATTATCTATTATACATTTTGATTTTTATTTACACTTTCAGTTTCTCACACCAGAGAAACTATCTGGTATTTACACATCTGTGTCCTATTTATTTCACTTCATATACATAATGATCACATTCATCATGGGGAATTTGTACCTGTGATAATATGCTTGATTCTTCTCATAGAAAATAGAGATGACCTATGTAAAAGTAAAGTGATTCTCTACTTTGTGTGATAGACAGATGTTTGTAGAACTGATCGTTCAAAATCATTATGGCATTAATCATTCAGGGACCAACTTTACTAGCACCCAAGAGAGACCTGAGTAATAAGCCTTCTTTATGGGTTGTCATAAAATTTGGGTGAGGAGGGTGGCAAAGAAAGACAACTTTAAGGTCATTCTGACTGAAAAGAATGCTGTGTGTATGCCATTTGATTTCACGTGGCCTGAAGGAGGGTACAGCGACAGTGACGAAGGGATTCCACTTAAAGAAAATACCGTGAGTGATTAAGGAAGAGATGAGTGTGAACAGATACCCTAGCACAAAGTGTGACTTAGTGCAGCACTGTGGAAATTATCCTCTTCAACAGTGAGTGACTGTTTAATTTGTAGTGGGTTAACTAGAAAAGCCACCATGAGCCACGAGCTTCTGCTATGAGTACTACCTTAATCATTCCAAAGACCCATTGGAACACAGCAGTTATTTAGAAGACTACAAATGTTGGCATCACGTTAGAGACACTAAGCAGAGCATCTCATGCAAATTGGCTACATATTTAGAACATCTCTAATATTTTCAAATTGGAACATCAGTAACATTTTCAAATTGGTAGTAAATCACTGCGCACTAGTGCATAAAAGTAGTGATGCTAAAGTTCTGTATCACTATGTATAGAAAATATAATAACATACTACAAGCGTAACTAGGATAGGCTAAGATAATTTCCTGATCTACCTCAGTAGAGCTACATTTCAATTAGGGAAGTTTTAAATAGTTTTCTAAAAATGAGGAGTTTTCTGTGTCTTCCTTATGGCGAGATTTAAATAGGTATAACTGACTTTAAGAAATTGGAAGAAGAAAAAAATATATGACTTGGATAATGAAGTGATATTTGAAAAGTGATTGCTAGAATTATTGAATAAATGTGTGTATAAAAGTAATAAAGAATAAGTTTGGGAAGAAAGTGTCATCTTTTTTAATTAAGTGCAATTTTTATGAAGAACAACATTTTCTAGCACTTCTGCTGCTTTCTATTTCCCTTTTCCTATCTATTTAATTTTTTGTGGCTAAATTTTTCCATTTCTCCAGCACATAATCACTAAGTCTTCCAAAAAGTCTTTCCTTATCCCTCTAATTGGGATAAGCTTCAACTCTGAATTCCAGTACCTCCAGATGTCTACTTTTCTATATCTTCTTTTTTCTACCTTACACTGGGATTACTTTTGTGTCCTCATTTGCCTTAAATATCAGGCAATGGGCCTCATTCATACACTGAGTAGATGATTATCGGCTGCATGAAATGTCAAGCCCATTGTTTTCTGTGCTATGGGAACACAAAATAAGTTTCTAATGCCTAAAAGAGAACATAAAATTCAGAATTACCATGCATGTATCATATTTACTAACAAAACTTTATGTGTTTCTCAGGTAATTTAATGTTAAAACAGAAGTGACGAATAAAACCAGGTCATGAAATAGCAAAGATACTAATGTCCTAAATTCTAATAATTATAAATGTCTATTTGGGTCAAAAGCATACTTACATTATTAATACAGTTTCTCAAACACTAGACATTCTAGATGCATGCTTGTTCAGTATGTGGATTAAAAATAAATAAATAAGCCGGGGGGGGGGGCACATGCCTGTAATCCCAGCCACTTGGGAGGCTGAGGCAGGAGGTTTGCCAGGAGTTTGAGTCCAGCCTGGACTACATAGTGAGTTCAAGGCCAGCCTGAACTACATGGCAAGACCTTGTCTCCAAAGAAAGAACTATTATTGCAGAAAACTCTATAAGGAAGAATTTATAATGCAATACAGATTGTAATAAAAATGTGTAAACACTAAAACATTTACTAGGTAACTTATTAAATCTCTACCTTTAAGTTATTTTCCTTGGTCTAACTATGTCTGCAGAACTGATGTCTAAGATCATCAGTTCAATTAGGAGATAAAGACCTGGGAATGGTGGCTCAGGCCTGTAGCCCAGCACTCTGGAGACTAAGGCAGGATCCTAAATTCAAACTCAGCCTGGGCAACTTAGAAACTTAGACCCTCTAAATAAATAAATGAAGCAATGGCTGGGAATGTAGCTCGTGGGAAGGCCCTGTGTTTAATTCCCAGTGCTGCAAAGAAAAAGAAAGGAAGGAAGAAAAATGGAAACAAAATCAAGCCCTCCCCACCTCCTCTCTTTTTTGGATAGGTCTCCACATTGCCTGGGCTAACCTCAAAGTTATAATCCTCCTGCCTCAGCCTCCCAAATAATGAGACTACAGGAATGTACCACCAATCCTTACTAAATAAGCGCTTATTAAATGACTGTACCAGAGAGAATGGAAACATAGAGTGAAAATACTTATTTTTTAATTTTAATATATTTTATATTTTTCTGATAATTTGTTTGAAGAGTCATTAGCAAACTCTTTGAATATATGTTATGTATCTTCTTATAAATATTTATTTTCTCATATTTAAAGTCAAACAGTTACAGGGAATCAAGTGTTAGAAATTAGGAGAGAAAAAGTTCATTCTTTATCAGTATCACTCTAGATTTTTTTTCAAAATGGTGGTTCCTTAGTTGGACTTTGAAGTATAAGACTTGAATTTATGGAGGAAAATATTTCTAAAGAAATAAAATGAAGAGAAATACATGAGCATTAAATTTCTCCAGAACTTATAAACCACTTGAACATTATTTTGGCAAAGAATATAAATATTATTTGATCTGTGGCGATCTAAGTCAGAAGAAATGTCAGTTTAAAATCTTGATGATGAAAGAATAGAATATGTGTGACTTAGCAGACTGAGATGAAGGTAACTCCTTGAGCTGTCTTTAATTGAGTAGTGAGCATGTGCATGTGCAAGTGCAAGATTTGTGGAAAGCATGCAGTGGCACTGGAGGCCGCCTAAGCGGAATAATTCTGTCATCCTCAACCAAGACTTCAGAGGAAGTTCACTAGGTGACAGCCCTCCAAGGTTCACCTGGAGTTCAGAAGCTATAACAACTTTAATTAATCCCAGTTGTTTTGTAAGGCATCATTAGTTCTGGAAAATTTCAAATGGATCAGAAAAGGTACTTTACTGAAGATTACTAGGAGGCACTTAACTGAGTGACATATGAATGATTGGTAAAGAGGATAATGTAAGCAACTTCCAACCGTCCCTTTCTCCTGCTGTGCGTCTATCAGAAGAAAAAATAAAGAACTAGATGGATGAGTTTGTTATACTGGCTTCCAACTGTAGTGCTCCTCTTGCCTTACCAGGGAATTCATGACCTTGAAGTCTTTGACTTACAACAACTTCCGTCTTATAAGTAACACCTTTCATTGGTCCAAATTCTGTCACGTTCTCATACCTCATTTTTATGTACTTCTCAAAGACATTAACATTTCCAGAGAACAACCTTCTGAAATCATGGAATTTCACAAGATTTTGAGAGAATTGCCTGATGCCCAAATGTTAAGCAAGAATTGGTAGCAGATCAAACATTAGGAAAATCTATGATGGGAAAAAGTTTACTTTTATTCACTTAGGCACAATTCTGATATTACAAGCAAAAGTCAGAAGATCAATTCTGGATCTTTGACTCTAATAGTAATTTAATTTGGGTATGAAATGTTAAGAACTTAACAATTTTCCAATATAAATTGTTAAACTGAAAGTTGATATAACAAATAGAGAAAACATCAAAATAAAAACCTTTGTTTTACTTGAACCATGACTCAAAAGAGGAAGCCATATAATGTAGGAAAAAAGTCCTCTTTTTAGATTAATGAAGCAATGGGCTAGGAAAACATAAATGTGTCTCCCTCTGTACTATACAACAATGATTGTCAATGTTTTCTAAAATGAAGGCCCTTTTTAAATATCTGTAACTATTATCACTTATGCTATAGAAAGGGAAAATGGGACCCAAGTTAGGATAATGTGAGGAAAGCTTAAGAAGGAAATTATATTTGCTGGCAAAATACCATAAGGAGCAATTGGGGTCCCTGGAGCTAGTATTCCTGGAGTGAGACACTCTGCTCTCAAAAGTGGAAATGAAAGGGAGATGTAAAAAGCTGTAGGAGAGGCCAACTGACCTGAACTGAGACCTCTTACTCCAAAGGTAGACATGGCCACCCCATAGGGAGTTAGCACCCCCAACCTCACTCTCCTCCCTTCTTTCAGTTTTCTATCATTGTTCCCTTGACTGAACCCACTAGGAA